AGGGGTGTGTACATATTTAATCACTTATCGATACTTGTATAAACTTTTACTTATTTCTGGAAGCTGTGTGAATATATCTATCATGTATAGCGCACATATTTATTATAAACCATGGATAATTTTGATCGACAAGAGTGATTCTACAAAGGACATTCATGGTAATCATCCAATTTATTAGCACCCTTTAGACTAGAGCCAATCACACCTTTACATAATTCCTTGAATTTTAACATTGATTTAATAATTCACATTTGTAAATTGTGGCTAGTAGCAGGCTACCTTTTTACTATGTAATCGTTTCACCATTCATCAACTGGCTGCTTGCCCTATTATATTGTCATCAAATATTTGTCCATAATATAGACATGTCACATGGATGAGACCAATAAGCTGAAGGCCCAACAAATTTTAAGAAGAGAGAAAAACTAAATAAAAATCAAACAGGTAGGATCGTATGATCCTCTGATTCAAATCGTAACTTTGACAACCATGTTTGTTACTAACTCTTACTAATGTAAAATTTGCTTCAATTTAATGCCCTTCTTGTTGAGGATCTCTTAAAATCAAATCTTGTATATTTTCAGGTGCAATCACTGGAGCCATAACAACTCCTCTTGATGTCATAAAAACTAGATTAATGGTTCAGGTACAGATAATGGATCTTTTTTCTTACTTTTCTTTCTGTCTTAATCTTTTTCATAGAAGGGGAGTAATGCAAATTCTTTCTTCATTTCATCTTTTCAACCTTTGCAGGGGTCAGCAAACCAGTACAAAGGTATATTTAATTGTGTTAGGACTATCATTAGAGAAGAAGGGACTCCTGCTCTTCTAAAGGTATGCTCTTCCACGCTACGCCTTTTATCCCATAAGATGCAATTCAAAGTATAGTAATCATTCTTTGTGTTCTTTTCTCTCGTTGCTCTTTTCAATTTACATGATAGCACGGGAAACTATTAAGAAAAATGTCCTAATTTTGTTAAGATAGATAGCATTTCTAACTTATGGACAGTGAGGGTCATATTTGAATAGGAATTGACTTAAATTTAAATTATATAAAACACTCTTAATCAAAAAATCAAAACTAATAGATACATATATAGAAAGAGATTGACGAACCTTGATTTTTTGCTCCAAATTGATGTGTATAGCCATCTGAAATTCGAAGAAATTGTGGATTCAAAATAGGAACCCTAGTTTCTTCATAGAACGAACAAATACAAGCAATCTTCGATGCCTCCCTCAATGAACTGTCAAACTTTGCTTCAAATTAGAGCAAGGATTAGGGTTCTTTTATGGAGATCTTCGTTTCAAAAACTCATGTCTGACAGCTTCAACAACTTGAATAAGTTAGCTTCAAATCAAATCTCATACATCTACACCATATCAAAATAATTTGTGAAAATAACACCTAGAACAACCCACACATCTACACTTTCATACACACATATATGCATACACAAAAAATAATATCTAAAAAGAAGGCAAAATACCCAAACTCTGCCACACATCTACAACACAAGATCTCATCCACCAACACCATACCAAAGTAAAATAAAACAAGATAATTAAGGACCAAAATCAATAAACTAAAATACGCTCAGAGTGTAGTGAGAGTTATTTCATTACCAACTTACTGTCACACCCCAAAACCATAGGGCATGATAATAAGGTTAAAACAAAAAAAAAATGGAACAACAGTTTTCAGCTTAAGAAAATTCTGTGCAGCGGTTCCTTAAAAAAACATAGAAAATTCAATTATTATCGAAATGAAACAAACTAATTTTTTTTAAAAACTAGACTCAGATGACAATGTGACCGAGTCACTCCCAGATGCTAGAAAAACACCAAGGAAAACAGTTTTTGGAAGGAAGAAAGCTCTCACAGCTTGTTGGGGCCTTAACCTTTAGAAACTAGACACTTGAAATAATAAAACTGGAAACTTTCATAATTTATTGATTTCGGGAAGGCCGTCAAATTCTTTTCTCAATTTCAGTTTCCAAACTGTGACCAGAAACCAAACAGCAGATGATATAAGATTTTTTAAAAAATATCCACCAATCAAAAAATTATAAAAAATTTGTGAGAGACTTTATACACAAAGGAAAACATATGGTAAAAATTTCACAGCGTTTGAAGCACTGCAACCTCTGATTAAAATTCGTTTCCAAAAAAGTACTAGAGGAAATTTAAAACAGATTTTTTTTTTTCTTTAAATAAAACCCTCTAACAGAAAATTCAGAGCTTACCCTCATTAATAACTTATATAATACATAGGCATAACAAAGATCTAAAGAGGCTAAGAATATATATATTGCATAAAGTCATCCATAGAAAGATAATTTCAGTCCAAATTTGTACACCCAAAATAAAGAGTCACAGCTCTGATGCCCAGTCACTAAGTACATATGCTACCATTAGCAGGCTATACACAAAACATCTAGATACAGTACCCTGTCCTAAAGAACATATAGCAGAGAGCATATTGTCATCTTTACTCTAGCACAACAACCACGACCTTAACATTGTTTCATAAGGCATCAAACATGAACAAAATAGTACTTCAGGCTAATATTTCACACAAAAACACCAAGCAGAAGATGCTCCACAAAAGGATCCCATCTATGGGAACTCAAGCTCGAGTCTAGCATTGCCGTCCTGAGCACCAAGACCTGAAAAATAACAAGGGTGAGACAATGCCCAGTAAGAAAGCCTTTAACAAATGCCTCCATGAGGTTTTAACTTTTAGGTACATGATTTGATTAAGCAGAATTATTTTGGCGTAAAATTGATAATATACATCAGTCTACCAACATGCTAAGTTCTGATTGGAAAACAATTTAACCATGTAGAATTCTGAAATAAAATCATAAGCAATACTTGTATGTAACCAAAACTTAGATCATGACTAAGCATATGTATAATATCTTAGCTAAAATCAAGCATTTGACTACAAGAAAATCATGCACTTGTAACAAGCAAAACTATAATTTCATGGAACATTAAATTAGGAAACAAAACTTTAAAAAAATAACTCTCAAGGCTGCAAGAGTTAAAGAGAATCCCTACCCAATTGAAGTTAACAACTGGAGGTGGTGAGATTAGATGGTGTGTGGGTAAAATGCCTACATTTTTAGCCTTAGTCTGAACCCTTCTTCTTCTTCTTCACTTTCTGTTCTTCTTTCTCTCTGTTAGACAACCAACGGCTAGAAGTTTTCTTTTAGGCTTGGGATGCAACAACTATGAGGGAACTAGTTACAAGTGTAGTGCTAAATAATTAAACGTGTCTCCAAGTTTTGCATATAAATGACACCTAGTTCTAAATCCCCTACATGCTGCCACATGCAAACCCACTAAACCACATTCTATTAATATCTCAATACTCCCTCATTTTCAAAAGTAATCACTCAATGGCTCTACCCATTTTATTTATTTCTTTATTTTTATTATTATTTGTTAACAACTAAATTCATCCCATGAGTAAAATAGAAAAATTAAATGAAACTTATGACTATAAATTAAATACTAGATCAAAAAATTATATACTAGACAATTAAGGAATTATAAATTGCCAACGAACCGTGCACAACCGATGCATTTAAATAAATTCCAAGCAATTAGGGATGTACTAATATTGAAATGCAACACATGAAATAGGTAGAAAGAAATTTAATAAAAAATCATGTAATTCTGGTCCAAAACATAGGGAAGACTTAATTAAATTTAAGGTTGTCACACTTACTCTTTGAACAGACCATTTTCTGCCTTTATTCACATTATCATGAATATAGTTAGATATTCTTCTTGCTAGAATTTTGACAATTTTTTTTTTATCTTTTGTGACAGGTTAGTAGACAAAATAATTAAGCAAATAGTGATGGATAAAGAATGGATGCACATGACTTACAGGTTATTATTTGTAGTGGAGTGTGCTTATAAAAGTTAATATTGTCTACACTAGTTTTAAGTTTAATTAAATGTTAAAGCTTTAATTTTATAGAGTTGATCCAAAGTATTTAGAAGGAGCACGGAGGTTTGCTGATCAGGCGCAAGCGAATGCGGGCCATCCAGAAAAGATTTTATGCCCTTGTAATTGTTGTCTAAATGCAAAGCACCAACACTTCGACATGGTGTTTAGGCATTTATTGGAAAATGGAATGGATCAATCATACATGATCTGGTACTTTCACGGGGAAAATCTGAGTGAATCTCCCCAACATGGAAGTGATGTAAATGACTTTGAAATGCCAGAGACGTATTAGATGTATAGAGATATTTTCTTTGATGGTGGTGATGATGTTTCGGATCCAAACTGTGAAATAAGAGAGGTTGAGTTTAAAAAGAAGTTAGAATATGCTGAGACCCCTTTATTTCCAGAATGCACAAAGTATACGGTTATGTCTGCAATTGTTGCCTTATGCAAGCATAAAGAAACAACTAATTTATCCGACACTGGTTTTGATGGACTTCTTCAAATGTTTGGGGATATGCTTCTAGAAAATAACAAACTTCCTAAGAGCTATTATGAAACGAAATTTTTTTTGAAGACATTTGATTTAGGATATGAGAAAATAGATGCTTGTAAGAATGACTGTTGTCTGTTTAGAAAAGAGAATAAGCACATGACTAAATGCCCAAAATGTGGTGCTTCACGGTGGAAAGAGAATGAGCATACTAAGAAGGTTAAAAATGGTGTCCCAGCTAAGGTGTTGTGGTACTTTCCAATAGTACCAAGGTTTAGAAGAATGTTTCGATCCCCTGAAATAGCAAAACAACTAACGTGGCATTCAACTCATAGAAGTGGGGATAGAAAGATGCGACATCCGGTTGACACGCCTGCATGGCATACGATAGATAAAAAATGGCCTTCTTTTGCATCAGATTCATGAAATTTAAGACTTGGCATTTCAACTGATGGGTTTAATCCATTTAGTGACCTTAGTTCGGCATATAGTTGTTGGCCAGTAACATTGGTGGTATATAATTTTTCGCCACTTGAACTCATGTCGAAAGAGAATATGATGTTGACATTACTAATCCCAGGGCCGAGGCAACTGGGAAATGATATAGATGTGTATTTGGAGCCACTTATAGATGATTTGAAAGAGCTATGGGAGAAAGGCGTGGAAATTTATGATGCATTTGCAAAGTCCACATTTAATTTGAAGGTAATCTTGATGTGGACAATTAGTGACTTTCCAGCTTTTAGTAACCTCTCTAGTTATGTTACAAAGGGTAAATAAGCTTGTCCAACATGTAGTGATGACACATGTTCAAGGCTGTTGAATTGTAGCACCAAGACCGTTTACTTGGGTCACCGTCGATGGCTATCTCCTACTCACCCATTTCGAAAAAAGAAGAGTTGGTTTGATGGGAGTGAAGAACATAGGTGGAAGCCTAAAATATTGTCTGGGACTGAAATTCTTCATGCTGTGAAAAATATTAAAAATGATTGGGGTAAATAAGTGAAGGGAAAATTACATATCAAACCAAAAATTGGAAAGAGGAAACAAAAGACAAAAAAGGACGAAAATGTGGCGTGGAAGAAAAAATCCATATTTTTTGAATTACCATACTGGGAGGTAAGTATTTGTAATAGAAAGTCGTTTAGTTTTTTTTTTTTTTTTTTTAAATAAAATATTATTTATTTAAGTTTATAATATGTTTTAAAAAAACTATTATTCCATTATTTGTGTTTTAGGTATTACTCGTTCGCCATAACTTAGATGTCATGCATATTGAGAAGAATGTTTGTGAGAGTATTATTGGCACCCTATTGAACATAAAAGGAAAATCAAAGGATGGACTCAAGTCTCTTAGAGATTTGGAGGAAATGGGCATCAGGGGGGATTTGCACCCACAAGATTCAAAAGGGAAACATTTCTTGCCAACAGCACCTCATACACTAAAGAAGGAAGAAAAACAGCTTTTTTGTAAGCGATTACAACAATTAAAGCTACTAGACGGCTATAGTTCCAACATTGGGACACATATATCATTGGATGAATGCAAGGTTGTAGGCTTGAAATCTCATGATTATCATGTCCTAATGCAACAATTACTACCGGTAGCGTTACGGGGAATTCTACCAAAGGCTGTAAGGAATGCCATATTTCGCCTATGCGCATATTTTAATGAAGTATGCCAAAGGGTGATTGATAGGAACTCAATGGAAAGACAGGAAAATGAAATTGCTGAGACATTGTGTATGTTAGAAAGATTTTTTCCTCCATATTTTTTCGACATTATGATTCACTTAACTATTCACATCGCACGCGAAGCTCGTATTTGTGGACCAGTACAATTTCGTTGGATGTACCCATTTGAGAGGTACTAATATCAACTTTTCCTTCTTTTATGGAGTTAGATATTTAATATTATAACATATATATAATTTATTTTGTTTTTATGTGTTTTAGGATGATGAAGGTTTATAAAGGATATGTTAGAAATAGGGCGAGACCTAACGGATGCATAGCTGAAGGCTATTTGGCTAATGAGTGTGTGAAATTTTGTAGTGAGCACATCAAACAAGCTTCTAAAATAGGGGTGAGACATTCTCAAAATGAGGATTTTGAAGGTGAGACAACAATAGATGGCCGTCCAATTTCGAAAGGAATTTTGAAAGTCATGTTGAATGACATGTTACAAATTGCTCACCGTTATGTCTTGTTCAATAATGCAGAGGTGGAACCGTACACAGGGTAAGTATGATATCTTCAGGACTTATTAATTTGTTATAAAAATAACAATGAAAACTTACCAATAGTGTTTGCCTCACAAAAAACATTTGGAGGAGCTTAAGCAGATGGACAGGCGTCTCATAAGGAATGCAAGCGCATTACAAAAGAAACATATGGAGACTTTTTGTTTGTGGTTTGCAAATGAAATTAGTGCAGCTGGTAATGATGTGTCCGATACACTTATGTGTCTTGCAAATGGGCCTAGAAGAGAAGTCATTTCACATTCGGGATATATTGTTAATGGACAATGATTTCACACCAAGGATGTGGAGAGAAGCACACAAGATAGTGGTGTTTCGCTTGAAGCAGAAACTATATGTCAATCTAGTGAAAGAGATACAAATCAAGTTCTAGGAAAAGTATCTTACTATGGTGTTTTAAAAGATATACTTTTGTTAGATTACCACACATTTAAAGTGCCAATCTTTGATTGTGAGTGGGAAAACATTAGAAATGGCATCAAAGTTGAAGATGGATTTGTATTAGTTAACCTTCATGAAGGTCAAAGTCAGTTTCAAAGTGATCCCTTTATTCTTGCTTTACAGGCTAAGCAAGTTTTTTATTCAAGGGAAGATGAAACATATAATTGGTATGTTGTACTTAAAGCGCCGCCAAGAGGTTTTAATGACTTGGAGTCTTTTGAAGAAAATAGTTTTGTGTCTTCTATGCCATTAGATGTATCAAGATTGGACTCAAATGATGATGATGATGGCAATGAAGAGTATGTGCGGTTGGATTGTGAGGGCATGACCATGTAGATGTATTAAGATTTTACTAGAAGTCATTTTATTTTATTTTATTTTGGGACTTTGTTTATGTAATAGCCTTTTACTGTCTTATGTTACATAAATCAGGTTTTTCGCATTCTATTGTAGTGCTTTATGACATGTCTTCTTATAACTTTACACCTCACTCACTCTTTTTATCTTTTAAATACTACTCCATATAGGCTTTACTTTTGTTTAAATAACTTGTACACATGTTTTGTGGGTCTATCTGAAGGTGTAAAACACCCTTAATATCATCTATATTTGCAAGAACATATATGTATTTTTTATATTTAAACATTCTTATGCATCTTGTATTGTCTGGACCCTGAGTTCTATCACCAATACACTAATATGCAGGGGAAAAATGATATGTAATGTTATGCTTGAAATATCTATGGCTTGAAATACTTTATTTTTTTTTTTTCTAGAACTTTTTGTTTTTAAAAATAGGTCATTCTCATTATAAGAGCAAAGGAGTAAGAATTGAAGAGGGAAAAAGATAGATAAATTTCAGCATGCGTGGTCCCGCAAAAGTAAGTAATTAATATATCAATTTTAAATTATAATTTTGTTGCCTCGTATTAAATTTTAATGGTTTTTCTTATTTTCTTATCTTGCATATTTTCTCATATAAAGTCCTCTAAAGTTGGTGCAAAAAGAGGACTAAGAGAGAGGAATTGTATTGTGGCAGCATTAAGGACTTCGGGAAATGAGGGAATTACTATATCAGATCGAGATTCAAACTCTCCCCATACACAGTTAGGTGGATAATCTAGAGGTTCTAGCTGCGTTCCAATCGATCATGATAGTGGAAGCACCTCGGCAAATGATGCTTCAATAACTCCCTCTACTCACAAGGGTCCTCATAAGGGTAGAGTTCCATCAATATTAGCAAATGCAGTAGTAAATGATAACGAGTCACCACTTTCGATTGAATTCAATGAAAGAGGGCAACCAATTGGTGAGAATAGTAAAAAAATTTCTACTAGCATCGGAATAATAGCACGACAGAATGTTCCAATTAGCTCAAAAAAGTGGAAAGAGGCTTCAGCTGAGAAAGAAAGACTCATATGGACATCTATAAAGGTATGTTCTTTTCTTGCATTTTATGTGATATATTTGTTTCATTATAGGTATTTGACCTAAGATTCAGTTTTAGAATTATAATTGAAATAAAAGTGATGACCAAATTTAATAGCATACACCACCATTTATAATTGGACCTAAGCCATTAATGATAGGAAATTTTCCCAAAAACTACTGATTGTTTGATTTTTACACTAAATGCAGCAAAAATTTGAAGTCCCTGATTTTCATAAAAAGGATGCTTTTAGAAGAATGGGAAAGAGTTGGGGTGATTATAGAACACGCCTTACAACCAACATATATAAGTCAAATGAAGATACAGAGGCTATTGATTCATTAAAGCCTGACAGTATACAATCAATCGATGAGTGGCAACAGTTTGTGAGTAATCGACTTTCTGATGACCACAAAGTAAGTAAAATATTGATCAAATTACCACAACTCTAATAACTTTCTTCTTTAGAAATTAGTAATTATATTATTTGTTTATAGCAAAAGAGAGAAAAATCTCAAGAATTGCGAAAGAAGCAAAAGATGCCTCACACAACAAGTCATAAGGGGTATGCTCGTCTAGAGGATGAAATGGTAAGTAGAACTAATTATTCCATCTTTCTTTTCTTCTTTTATCCCATGAATGGATCTTGTTGTTTGATTTTGTACACGTGTCAGACATATTTTGTATCGATATTTTGTATTTAATCATGTGCTTTGGAAGCTTAATTGTGCATTATTAGTGGAAATTTCAGCTCAAAGTATACAACACAGGAAATCTTAGCTTCAATTCTCTACACCAATAGGGATACAACTTTCAAACCACAATGCAGCTTCTCTTGATGCTCAAAATAGATTCCCACAGTCTTGTCTTAGCCTTTTTTGTTTTAGGGGCACTTTACTAATTCTGTGGCTGGTCCTTCCTGAAACTAGCTTCCACAGCTTACAATCATCATATAACACATGCTTCAATTACCACAACTCAGTTTTTAACAAGTTAGTAATAAGTCACAACCCAAACTAAGCTTCACAATTATTTTCTACAGTAGTGATGTTCTCAGGGATAGAATTGTAAATTTGCTGTGGTACATCTCAATTCTCGATTCTCCTATTCATATAATATCAAACTAGAGGTGCTCAGATGAAAATTATGTCAACTACATTTGTTAAGTCTATTAGGCCTGAAACTATAAAGGTTATTTTTCTGATATGTAGCTTAGATTGTACAGCTCTGTATCATCATTATAAGCATGATCAAGCAACAATAATGCATGTAACATAAAGATGTATCACTTTTAAGTTCACATACAGCTGCAATGCATCAGAAATTAAATATAAAGCAGGTTTGAGATCTGAGAATTGATACCAGCTCTAGAGTTGTTGTTTTTGTGGCTTCCTGTAGATGTAAATCACCAACTTATACTTGCTCAGCCATTGTCTCAGCTCCAAAAAAGACCCTCAGCACTCATATATGTATTTGAGACCCTCATTTTATACTCTCAGCCCTCTTTGATTATCTTTGAGACCTCATTTTATACTGAATTTAGGGTTGAATTTCAGCTCAAATGATCATTTAAAATCTCTGTAAACCTCTCTTATTCTTTGGTCTTGAGTCCTCTTTAGCACAGCCTCTCAAATATAGCTCAAATAGAGCTAAGAACATACATTTCTGTCCTCTTTAGCACAGCCTCTCTTGTAATCGCTGCAGCACTTGTGTAAGTATTTGAAAATTTTTTTATTAGCAAATTTTACACAAATATTATACTAACTTGTACAATATTAACATGTTCTATTATCTGTACACAAATATTGTTCCTGTGTAGAGAAAAAAAAGTGATGCACCTGACTCTATAACAAAGGTTGATGTATGGATCGAAGGTCACATGAGGAAGGGTGGGAAACCTTTGAACGATGCGACAGAAGAAGCAGTGGTAATATATATTTCCTACCTAACTTATATTTTTTAAAATTCCATTTATAAACATGCTTAAATGCATAACAACAAACATGTTTAAAATATGGAATTTTAGAAACAAATGAAAGAGTACACCAAAACCCAACCTAAAGGCACAAGCTCTCTTCGAGATGATGGAGTCACTCATGTACTTGGTCCAGAATGTAAAGGCCGAGTTAGAGGCCTTGGTTTTGGAGCAACAATCTCTAAAATTGAGGCAAATGGTTTTCAAAGGGTGCAAACAAAAAGGGTAGAAGAAATAGTTGAACAAAGAGTAGAACAAATCAAACATGAAATGAGAAATGAGATTATGAATGAGATGAAAGCCTTGTTGGTAAGTGTTACAACAATTTATATACGTATTATTTTCTGCTTATATAGCATTTGAATTTAATGTACTAGTTTTTTTAATCCATGTTTTCATTAATTGTAGTCCCAAAATGCTAGCGCTGGTTCTCAGTCTAATGCTATGCCAAGTCCTATTATAGAAGATCTACAAGGTTTAAAATGTGAGTTGTTACACTGGAAGTGTAGTTGTTGCAAAGGCTGAGATAGTAGCAATGGATCCCAATGCGTTAGAAGATCATTTTCCAATTGGTCCAGATTGTTGGAAAGTATGGATTGATGATATCTTGGTCGGCAACTGTCCTTTGTATCGAGCAAGCCTAAATGAAATTTTTTATCTTCGTGATGCTAACACAAGCTCGGTTGTATGGCCTAAGAAATATGTGAAAATTATTCAGGTCAATTAGTCATTCGTTAACTTATTATTATATTTCTTAAATTAGTCATACGATCTGATTTTTTATGTATTTGTTTGCATTACATTTTTGAAATATTTTTTTTTGACAGGATATATTATTACCAGTTCATTAGGAGCAGAAGAATCAGAATTTCTATGATTCCAGTCTACAACAAAGGTCAAATACTAAGCTTCTTTTATGATTGCACAATTTTAATGCTTTTTATACTCATACTTAGGGGGTCACATGCCTTTAAGTGACCAATATTGCGGTGTATCTTGAACTTTATTACCTTATTGGTACATCGGCCCATGTGGAGGCCATTAAATTTTATTTCTTGTTTTAAAATGTTGAAAGCATGGGAGTATGGGATCATCGTATGTGGAGGTTTTGATTGATTGTTGTGGAGGAGAAGTTGTTGATGTCATGAGATTTTTCTTGGATCGATTACGTGTGCATGATTGATATTTTTATTAAATAATTTTGTGAATTAAAAAAAATAATATAAAGTGCTTTTAAAAAAAGAGAATTGTAACATTATATGGAGTTTTTATATTCAATCTATTTAGTTTGCTCTATTTCATAATTCTTTCAAAAATATGTACAAGAGTAGAAGTAAAATTCTATTATGAGGAGTCAAAATGTATGATATAAGATATGTTTTGCATCACTATGACCACTTTGACTGTTCAATTTCATTAATTGATGATTTAAAAATATGATAAGAACTTCATTTATACCATCTTTCCACTCCATCCGAATTTGACAAAGCCAAATGCAAACACAAAGCCGCCAACAAACAACCACCACTGAGAATAGTATGAGAATAGTAAGTTGTGAGTCATCACTTTTCAGAGTCAAAAGAGTCGTGTGTTGAATGAAGAAATCACAAAGTATAGAAATTATTGATGGGAAGGAGATTTCTTCAAAACTTTGGGCCCCCACAAAACAAACACAAATGCACCTTTCCTTTTCTATATAGAATGACAGCAATATGCATATATCAAAAGAGTTAAAACTAGGTCATGAAACATTTGATTTATTATTATATGTGAAGATATTCATTATCATTTAATTCAGAAAAAAAATTATAAAAAAAATTATATATTGACATTTCATGAAAATAAGATGTACTTGTGATGAAAATATTAAAAGATCACTAACCATTGGTTTTTATATGTTGAAGTGTACCCAATGTTAAACTAGTAACTTCA